CTTTAAACAGAGATGTGCTGGAAAGAATGCTGTTGCTTTGGTAACCAATTGGCCACTTCCCCTGGTTAGCAATCATGTTGCTTGTTGTGCAACAGTGGTATTATTAAAACAAGTCAGCATGTCATTCTTTCTGAAAAGATCTCAGATCATGTATGCCAGTTTGGGATGACTCCTGGCAGGGACCCTGAGTGATTAAAAGTCAGAGGGATTAGATTAGTCTTGCATTTTACCATGATGCATTCTTACACAATAGAGTTATAATTTGTTTAACAAATGGTTTGTTTAAATGCGGATGACACTTGGCATGTTGTCTATAGTATATTCATGAATAATGAGCTGGAGATCTGCCCAATACAAAAGGACCAACCCAGGAAAGGGCGAAAGAGAGCTGACTGGTGATTTATGAGCCCCGTTTTCGGTTTGCCTCCAGTTCACAAGGAGGTGTAATAGGTTGTCTGACAAAGCATAGACAGGAAATGAACCCTGGCATCCAACGCGAACCTGCTACATCTGCACTTAATTAATTTTTGCAGGTGATAAAAGATTTAAAGGCAAAATATGTTAAAAGTTTTTTTGAAGTGCAAGGCTTAATAGTCTAAATCTTGTTCATATCTGCACTCATAATTAAATCTTATTGAGAAGTCATGGCCTCACCATCCAGCCCTCCGATTCAGTTAGGCAAGCACACCAAAGGGTTGAGAGAGCACAAACAAAGCCATGTGAAGAAATACTTAGTTAAGTTAAAAATGAAGATAAAAGGAATGAAAGACTGATAAACATTTGTACTGCTCAGTAGCAATGGATGTTTTCTATGTACTGTATTGTACAGCCTTCGTGCAAACACTTTGGTGCTGAGAATATCGAAACCCATGTCTTTTCCAAAAGCGTTTAAGTTTCAATGTAGGTCATAGTTCACCATTAAAGAAATGTGTTGAAGGCCTAGATATACTACAGCAGCAAGGTCTTAAAACTTAACAAAACTGAGGACATCAATACCTATTTTCCCATGTACATGCAAATTGACATTTTAAATAATAATTATTGGTTTGCATATTTATAAGAGAGTAAATTTTAAAAAAATAATATGCTTCTAGTACTGTAAGTTCTGCTAAAAAGATAAGCCAAAAACTTGAACAAAGGATAGCAGATAAACATCAAGGATTGAGGCAAAATTTTTCTAAACTTTCTAAATTTGTCCAAATTATAGGGGAAGAAGAATTTTTTCCTTAAGAATCTTTTAGTATTACTTTCTGAAGAATATGCTCTGCTACTATTTTATAGTTCCATGAAGATAATCAATAACCACTGAGTCCTTTTGAAAACACATTTGTGATATCCAAACTCTAAAGTAATGAATTGTACAGTAGACTTGAAAACTAAAATGCCTAGCTTGTGATAGATGGACACTTTGCACCTCAGAGGATTTGTAAAGTTTTGTTTTTGTACATTAATATAAGAATAAAAGACTGCTAGAGATAATTCTATATGATTTATAAAATAAGTTGCTTGGTAGCTCCAAGGAGTGTCCCGTAAGCTTACTGGCCTTTGATTATGAATTTACTCCACTATCCAATCATAAAGAATACTGATTTCCCAGCAGGCTGTAGTAGAGGAGAAGTTTTTGTTTCAGATTCTCTAAATATATGAAGTTCTGTCCAAAGGGCTGCCTCTGAGATCACCACCAGCCCGCCTATTCTTGCTTTCAAGTTGTCCAAATTCTGCAGCTGCAGGGATCCTTTGAGGAAATTCCCGTTTCTTCCAGCTGCCGAGAAGGAAGTTTTAAAGTGCCACGTGGCGCTGAGACATCCGTTCTCCCTGGCTGACAGGTCTGTTCTGCAAGTGAGCAAAGGAGAAGGAGTGAAGGGTCTCCAGTGGCGAAGAACTTCATTCCTGAATATCCGAAGTCACTAATTTTAGCTAATCAGTGTGAGCTAGCTCCACAAATTCTCGGGCCAGCAGAAGGCAAGCTACTCCACTGTCCAGCAGCTAGTTCTATCATTTTTATGTGCCTCGTAAATAGAGAGCCAGGGCTCTAACTCACCTTTTGAAGGCCACAGCCAAATTCAGAAGCATTGAGTATTTTAGGCAGGAATGATTCTAGTTGATTTGTGGAGCTTATTCATTCCAGTTCTCTTTCTGGAGAAGATTCCAGAGACATTCAGGTTGGTGAGGAGAGGGAGCAGGTGCACTTGATTTTCAACTTGCAAGAGGCTATTGTGTTCAGGGCATGAACCTGTTCTAGAAGTATGATTTGCCTGCATAACTCAGGGTAGCTTTTATTTAATGTGACTTTCAGGTGAAAATAATATGTTTTAGGCTTTCTTCGTAAAAGAAAAGTCACTTTACGTGTCAGATTGTGGGCATTTCCATTTTGAGCCAAGCCTTAAACTCAACCAAAGAATTGTCGCAAGTGTTTACACTAAATAATTATAAATGATAATATTAGCTAGTAGGATATGTTATTTATTCAAAGCTATTTTAACATCATAGTGAAAACATATTTGTTCTAATTCCTTATATAGAATAAATTTTCACAGTACATTTTGAGCAGTAAAACATTGAAATGATTTTCAGCATTTCTGAGCAAATCTTGTGTACCAGATCTATTTTGAGACATTTAATGATTTAGTTAATTTCATTGTTATAATAATTTCTCACAACACCAGTGATTTTCTTATATCAGTCTAGTATATTTTGTTGCTAAGGAGAAAACATCCTCAGATCATACCTGAGCATTAACTACTTCGTATGAATATTTTGCAACAGAGAAAGCTGAATAAATATATATGTGTATATGTATAAATATGTACATGTATATATAAATATACACATGTGCGTGTATTTATATATTCTCAAGGTTATATTGTAAGTTGTTGCCCAAAACAAAAGACATATTTTGTCTTACTTTTATCTCTAAATAGTTTGTGAATATTTAATTAAGAATTATCTAAGTATTTTTAAATTGGATTTGTGTATTTCAATGAAAAATGTCTGTTGAAATATTATAGTGCTGTGGGCAAGACTATATTTTTTATTCATAAATTTATGCAATAATAAGCATCCAACACATTTTTCAAGACTGAATGCTTTTATATCTAAGATAAATTATCATCTTTTATTTGACATTCTTAAATAAACTTTTACATCACTAAAGAAACAGAAGTAATCAAGGCAATATATTTTTTTTGGTTTTCAAAGTGTGGATGCATTTAGGCCTAGAGCAAAATTTTCCTTACAATGCCGACTAAAAATTCTATCATGTAGTAGAAATGCAAACATTCCTTCTCTGTTGTTTTTCAAAGCATTCTGTTTGTCCATCCTCTAGGTATGCAGTAGCAATCTCTGAAGACATTGTGGCTTAAACTATTTCATTTTGTTCACGTAAAGGAAAATAGTTTTACTATCTTCTCCTTCCTTTCCTTTGAACATTCAGAAATCCAGAGATTGATATATTTTCAGCATGCTGTTTTTTTTTTCCTGATGAGTATGCCTTGAGCCAGAATAAATTTCTGGAATGATGCATATCTTCCCTTGTATTTTATGTATCCTTAATTGATTTTGGATGCATGTACTATATAAAAGGCAGAAAGGATTAGTGTATGTCTACACTAAAAGAAATGGGATAGCAAGCTTAGTGCAGGCTTTCAGGACCCACTAAAGGGAGGCTTTGGTGGTGTCTAGTAAGGGATTTCTAGGCTGGAGGTTGAAGTGGAGACAAGTTATATAAACCTCAATAATGACCACAAATCTCACTTCACAGGTATATTTGCTAAGAGAATCAAAGAGATAATGACTGTAAGTGTAAGTAAACAGTATATTAGTTATATGTTTGGCCTTTGGAGTAAGAAGTGCAGTCAAGACACATCATGCAACTTTTCTGTATAGTCAGTAAATTACTGAAACTCTCTGAGTCTCAGTTTACTTATTTTTAGATTAGGAATAATGCCATATATCTCATATAATTGTTAAATAAGCCATGCAAGATATTTAATATAGTGATATAGTGCCTGATGCAAAAACTACAGAAATCGTTTTTGAAAATAGTGTTTTTTACTGATATAAAATAAAGTACCATATAAGGATATAGTTACAAATGACCAAAACTTTTTTTAACAGAACCTGGAAATCATAGCTGTTACACATGTAGCAGTAATATTATATTGAATATAATATGTAGGTTGTTCACTTTTAAGAGTCATGTATTTTATTTTTGTTCAGAAGATATTTGAAGGTATATTAATTGAAATTCTTAGCACTTGAAATCTTTTTTTGAGACATTTTAAAAGTACTATTAGTGTATTTTCCCATTTCTTTTATAATTTTTAGCAAACGTCTATATCATAGAAAAATTAGAAAAAACAACCATTTGTACAAATATCTGAAGAATTTTTTTATTCGTTAAAATGACGCAGGTTTTTTTGTTTGTTTGTTGGGGGAAGAGATTGTGGTATGGGGAAGAAAAAAAAGAGGGGAAAGAAGGCTGGGAAGAGAGTCATGATATAATATTAAAATTAGACAGATTGGACAAGATGCATAAAAGCCCTTATGCCATCTTTCTGGTTTGGATGAAATGATTTAATAGCTAATGAGCTCATGCTCCTGTGTCTTTGACTTGCCATCACAATTTTACCAAAATAAAGTATGAAGTCTTTTTTGCATCTGGCATCTCTTTTGAAGTTATTCTAACTGCTGAGGGATTGCTAACTGAACTGAACACTTTAAGAAAGCCAATTTACTCAGCTGGTTGCAAAGCCTTTGACCTTAATGGTGGGACTTGGCAAATCAATGCATACACGTATGTTTAGTGTTCTGTCAAGAATTGCAAAAATGCTCTGTAAGCCATAGATCCTTCTGCAAAATTCTAGTTTGTAGTTTAAACATTAGTCTTTCTTCAGAGGCCAATGAGGCTAGTTAATTAAGCCTAAGGGGTTATGAACTGTTGGCAGTTAATAAGTCATAAAATTCCTCCATAAAACAGGATGCGAGATTCCATCACTGAAGCAAAGAGTACGAAGGGCCGGTGTATAAATATCTAATTGTACCAAAGGACTGGGCTTTCTCAATGACTGCTCATCTGGAGTCTCCAGGGCATGTTCGCTGTGGTTTCCTGATTTTTAGAAGCCAGTTTAAAAAATGAGTGCATTAAAGGGTAATTTGCCTGAAAGTTCAGGAAGTAAAGGGGGTGGTGTGGAAGCGAGCTGAAGGGGAGAGAGAAAGAAGACATAGTGAGAAGACAGAAAATGAGAAGGAAGGTGGGCTAGAAAGACAGGGAACTCAAAATCAGAAAAGTTGTCTCCACACAGAGTTAGACATGACTGTATTTGTCATCTGTTTTCTTTTCCCTGTAGGATGTTCACCATGGAAATGGTACACAGCAGGCCTTTTATGCTGACCCCAGTATCCTGTATATTTCACTCCATCGCTATGATGAAGGGAACTTTTTCCCTGGCAGTGGAGCCCCAAATGAGGTTCGGTTTATTTCTTTAGAGCCCCACTTTTATTTGTATCTTTCAGGTAATTGCATTGCATGATTACCCATAATTTTCTTGTCCTTTGCTGGTGTTTTAAATTACACGAGATTACTGAATTGTCCCATGGGAGCAAAAACCAGTGCAGAACAAGTGCATAACCCAGAGCACTAGTTGTCAAGCAAGGGTGGGCTGATTTGACATGTTGTTTGATGTTTATTTCAAGAGCTCACATGTGTTTGTTTTCCTCTCTTCTTACTTTCTTCCTTGTGTACTCCCTCTACCTACTGTGGCATGGCTTTTCTCTTCCCAGGTTGGAACAGGCCTTGGAGAAGGATACAATATAAATATTGCCTGGACAGGTGGCCTTGATCCCCCTATGGGAGATATTGAGTACCTTGAAGCATTCAGGTTGGTACTTTTTTCTTTGAAAGTGGAAAATTAGAAAACAAATGTCCATGGGACTAATGCCAGATATAAAAGAGAAATGTAAATTTCTAAATGAGCTTAAAGTGGCTAAAGGAACGATTCCATCAAATCTCAAAAAAAAAAAAAAAGTTTGATTTGGGAGACCTGAATATTGCTACAAAGCCAGTAAGGAACATATGTACAAAAAAAATAAATAAATAAAAAGGGTACATAATGATTTAGTTGTATCATTGGTGAGTATCTTACCCCATTCAGTAGGTTGCCTTTTCGTTTTGTTGATGGTTTCCTTCATGGTGCAAAAACTTTTTGGTTTGATGTAGTCCCATTTATTTATTTTTGCTTTTGTTGCCCTTGCCTGAGGAGACATATCCAAAAACATATTGCTAACAGCGATGTAGAAGAGTTTACTGCCTATATTATCTTCTAGGTGTTATGATTTCAGGTCTTAGTCTTTAGTACATTTTGAGGTTATTCTTGTATATAATATAAGAAAGTGGTCCAGTTTCATTTTTTTTTTTTTTTTTGCACATGGCTGTCTAATTTTCTCAACACCATTTATTGAAGAAACTGTCTTTACCCTGTTGTTTATTCTTGCCTCCTTTGTCATAGATTAATTGATCAATAGGTGTAGGTTTGTTTCTGGGTTCACTATTCTGTTCCATTGATCTATGGGCCTATTTTAAAAAAAAAAAAAAAAAAAAAAACATATCCTAAAAGAAAGCTTTTAATTGGTGCCTTGCTGTTTTGATTAGTATCATTTTGTTGTATAGTTTGATATCAGGTAGCATGATACTTCCAAATTTTTTTCTTCTTTCTCAAGATTGCTGTGGCTATTTGGGATCTTTTGTGGTCTGTGTAAATTTTAGGATTATTTGTTCTAATTCTGTGAAAAGTGCCATTGGTATTTTGATAGAGATTATATTTTGATAGATTGCTTTGGGTAGTATGGACAGTTTAACAGTGTTGATTCTTTCTTTCCAGGGGCATGGTTTATGCATCCATTTATTTGAATCTTCTTCAGTTTCTTTCTTCAGTGTTTTATAGTTTTCTGAGTACAGGTCTTTTACCTCCTTCGTTAATTTTATTCCGAGATATTTTATTCTTTTTGACGCATAGGGAATATAGTCAGTAATGCTGTAATAACTACACATGGTGTCAGATGGATATTAGACTTGTTGGGGTGATCACTTCATGAAGATATATAAATGTCTAATCACTATGCTGTACACCTGAAACTAATATGATATTGTATTTGAACTGTAATTGAAAAATAAAAATAAATTTTAATTAAAAAGTTTATTTTAAAAATATCTAATTTTAGATAGACCTAGGCCTGCAAAAAATAAATAAAAAGAGGAAAAAAAGATTTTATTAGTAAATAGTTTGGAAAAATCTGCTGTTATAACATATGACATGATTGAGAATGGGCATGAGCATATTAAATGGTCTGAGAAGTCCTTCACTACCTATTTAACTGTTGAACAGACATTTCCCAAATGGCATTGGAGTGTACGATTCCTTTTGCACATAGCACCACTTAGCATTCTTAGTTCTGAGGAGCTAGCTCACTTTTGAAATATTGGTCTAAGCAGTCTCATTTCATGGTAGAGTAAATGACTTTTCCCTCTCATAATATGTGTATTTTCCTCTCACTTAAAACGTCAACTAATTAATTGGTTGTTTTCAGTTCCTCTACAAAATGTAGGCAATAAGTGAAATGTACATTTATGTATACATATTGCATTCTGCTTATCTTTTTCCAAGCAAGGAACTTTTAATATAAACATGAAATATAACAAATTAAAAGCTTTCTTTTGGGATATGTTTTTTTTTTTTTTAAGACATTTATTCTCTGGAATTAAAAAGAATATTTTAGTCTTTGAGAAGGTCTCTGTTTTAAGGAAAAATACTAGATTGTGTCAATAAGTGCTTCGCTTGCAAGATTTTAGATTTTAACCTATTGGTAATGTATGATATTTTGGAAATTTTGTTTAGTAGAAAGCAAAAGCAAACAACTACATGATAAGAATTTAATTTAGAATTTATAAATTCCCAAGGGTAAAATACTGTTGATTTATTTAAAACTTAAGGAAACAAGACGGCAATTTTTCAATAAGTACAGTTTTGGCGGGTTTCTGCTGTACTGTGTATCAAGCATACTTCAATTTCTCATTTGAGGGTCACTTCTCATTCGAAAACAGGCCCAGGAAAAATGATAGAAAATCACCGTTTTCAAGAAAATACATTAATAAATATATTGGGTTTGGTATTAGAGTTACTAAGGACAATTCTACCCACACTTCAGATTTGTACTTTCAAAAAAAGTATTCATATATCTACACTGTTTACAGAAAAAAATAGCTGAAATACATTTATTTCCTTTAAGACTTGAGTAGTCCAAGAAGATATTTTGTGTTAATTAGCAGTAAAAATAAAAATTACAGTAAGAAACTATAGGGGTTACAGTGTTATGAATTCTGTTTGCCTGGATATGCAACTGAACAAATATTATTACCATCTTAAAGGAACTCTAATGGTATAATAAACTTTAGTATTATAAATCACATATAAATTTGTCTGTTTGTACCAAGTTAATCTAGTAACTTACATGATAGACAGATTAAGTTCTCAATATTCCTGTAGTATATGATCATGTCTATTGATCTGCAATACAGAATTCTTAGTTTTTTAATGATCATACTCTTTATGGTACTAGAACTTTACATAAACGGATCATGCTTTCACAGCAGAGAAAGATAATTTATATTTTTTACCTGTTGTTTTCACATGACAAAGTGAGTGGTAGATGAGGTTTTTTTTTTTTAAAGAATCCCTTTGCACACAATTTTATTAAATAATGTTAAAACAAATGTTAAGTGTACATTATCAATTTCTGATTGAAACGGTAAGTGAATCAAGTGCTCATGAAAGTGACTGAATGTCCTCAAGGATGGCATCTTCTCTTTGCCTGAAATGTGGGACACTTTATACTCTCAAACTTTTCTAAACTTCCCAGTATAGTCACCATATTTAAGCTTAAGTAGAGGAGAAGCACCATTATTTAGCTAGGCTGTAGAAATATAAAATGTGGCTTTTAATGTTCCTGGTTATTTAAAAATCACATTTAAACATAATAATTCTGTTAATTTTGAACTATACCATGTCTGTTTGCCATTCAACGTGTGTGACTAGAAATACTCATGAATTTGTTATGGAGAAATTAAGTAAATCATTCAAAAAATATTGATTGAACATATTATATGCCAGGCTCAGTGATGAGCACTTGGAATTCAGAACTGACTTGCTGTTAGGGAGCATAACAGAAGTGATACTATTCTGGAGAACAGATGTCCTTAGACATAGGATAAAATGAGGAACTCTCCTTGAAGAGTTTCAGGAAAAGCTTCTTCAGTTATTGTTTGACCAGTGCTTTCAAGGACGAGTAGGAGTTTTCAAGGGCTAAAGGAGGTGGAGTGGCGGGGGATTCATACTGGGCAGAGAGAATAGACCGAAAAGGATGGAGTCTTGAAGTGGTCTTGCTCTGTTGGCT